AAAAACAAAAACAAAGAAAGAAAGAAAGAAAGAAAGAAAGAAAGAAAGAAAGAAAGAAAGAAAGAAAGAAAGAAAGAAAGAAAGAAAGCGACCTCCCTCTAGGCCTGCTGGGGCCGCCATATCATTCCAGCTCTCTAGAGGCAGAAAGCAGGAGAATCAGGAGTTCAAGGCAAGTTTCAACTATATAATGAGTTTGAGTTCAGCCTGAGATGTATGAAACAGCCTGAGATGTATTATCCTGAGATAATAAATACATAACTGAAGATTCTTATACCAGCCACCCAAGTACAGTGAGACCCTTGGGTGACCTGCCAAGAAGGGGGCTTATGAGTGATGCTGAGCAGCTTTAGAAGAAGCTCTGAGGACTAAAGCTCTGGGTACCAGAAGACCAAGATCGAGATGCGGGCAGGGCTGTTCCTCTGGGGCCTCCCTCCTCGGCTCACAGATGGCTTCCCTCTTATCGCCTCACGGTGGGGTCTTCACTTTGTACACACACACCTGGAGCCTCTGTGGCAATCCAGACTTCCTCTTCCTAGGGTCACCAGCCAGATTCGATAACAGCCCATTCTAATGGCTTTGTTTTAAGTGCGAGACTCTCTTGTCGGGGCTGGGGGTGTGGCTCAGAGAGAAGGCGTCCCTAGAATGTACGGAGCCTGGGTTTGATCTCCAGCAGGGAATGGTGCTGTACACCTGTAATCTCAGCACTTAGGAAGTGGAGGCAGGAGGATCAGAAGTTCAAGGTTATCCGTGAGTACCTGGGGAGTTCTAAGCCATCTTCAAATACAGTGTGTTAGGGGTAGTAGCATTTCAACATATAAACTTGAGGGGGGACGTAATTCTGTCCTTAACAACACTTATAGAAGAGACTGAAGCTCAGAGTCGAGGACAGGACGGTCCAGAATCCTACCCCAGGGGACAGGGTGAGAGCGGCCTCTCTTAACAGTGCCCTGCTTAGCAGAACGCACTCATGGCCGGAAGTGGAGCCTGAGGCTTGTATGTGGGTTTCAACCTGACTCCTGTAGCCACTGGGGACATGAGTAGATGTCCTTCCCCTTTCCTCTGTCAGGAGGACCATAAAGGACTCCGCAAGGTGGTTGTGAAGATTCTGTGACGTTGGGACAGGAAATGAAGAGCACGTGCTAGACGGCACCTGCCGCTCCTCCCACATCCCCTCTTCCCCTTTCCCTTTCTTACCATCAAAATCTGTTAGTTACCACAGGCCAGAGGCGCTCACTTATTTCCCCTCAGGTGATTTGCAGTTTCATAGCTAGAAAAACCGAAGGGTGGAATTTCAGGCTTCAGCTGGCAGGTGCACGGAGCTCTTGGTGCGTCGTCGTCAGGAGCCTGCTGCAGGGCCGAGGCTACAGCCGGCACCAGAAGAGCAAACTGCCCGATTTGCCGCCCTTCCATCCCGGGGGCCTGGGGGGGTCTCCCTCCTAATAGACTGCACACGACTTGGTGTCATTCCGCTCCAAATTGCCCCGTCTGCCACCATAGACTCGAAATGGAACCCTGCAAATCGATTCTGCTGTGCAAATAAGCAGGTGCCTGCTTACTCTGAGGGAGGGGGGTCGCTGGAAATGGAGCCAGGCTTGCGGGGTAGTGAGGCGATGATTGTAATTTGCCGTTGGGGAGCAAACTGAGCTTGGCATACAAAATTGTTTTCAAATGTCCTCTTTGCTGTTTTGATGTATGTAGCCTGTGTGCTGGGGAGATCAGCTCCGAGCGGGCGGAGTGCTTTGCTGGGGCTGGGGTGGCGAGGGGGACGGGCTTGCTTCCCTCTTGTGCTCAGAGCTACTGGGAGCAGGAGCACATCTGAATGCTAGCAATTTGGGCCAATAAATAGAGGTTCAGGCTGGGGAGAGGAGGGGTGGGTCAGTGTGTTATTTCAAGTAAAAGACATTCTTTCCTGAGTCACAGAGAGTTGCTGTCTTTATCTGTCCCCTACCCACAGGCCATGGCTTCTCAAGAGCTACTTGAAATCCTGCCCATATCACATGGGCTTGTCATACATGTATAGGTCAAAACAGGACACGTGGAAGCAGGCTCTTTAATCAGTACCCAGCCCTGGCTTTGTCAAAGACCTCTTCTCCCACCCTCAGATTTGGGACCAGATCTTCTTCTTCCTCTTCCTCCTCCTCCTCTTTTTAGACAGAACCGTGTAGCCCAGGCTGGCCCTGAGTGCCATATGTAACTGGTCCCCCTGCTGCCACCTCCTGAGTGCTGGCATTAGAGGAACGCACCACTCCGCCTGGTCGATGCCGTACTGAGGAACAAATCCGGGGATCGGTGCTTGCAGAGCCAGCTGTCTACCAGCTGAGTTACATCCCCAGCCCCGGGACCAGAGTCTCACATGCGGTCAACAGGGACAGCATCCCAGCTCTTCCCTTCAGGCTTTTGACTGTTCTCACCTGTGCTGGCCAGAATGCCAGGACCCACAAAGAGGAAAGCAGTGGTTGGTGGCGTCGCCTGGGCAGTTTGTGAGCGACCCCTTTGGGGCTAGCCAGAAGCCTTACTCCTTGACATGCAGCCACGCTTGCTATCGGATCGGATTCTTTATCTCCCACTCTCCCAGATAAAGCCAACCACTCTGGCTTGTTTCCAGCAAGAATCTCGTCATATTGGTTTAGCCGGGTTCCTCTCATCTCTTAGGGATTTTCCAACAACTAGCCCTCAATCTGCTCCTTGGTTAGAGACTCCATATATACCATAGCTATTACAGTGGTCCTGAGTAAAGTCTTCCCTGCTGTGTGTTACACAATGATTTAAAGTAAGGCTCTGTTGAGCTAACTCACACAAAAGAGCAAACAAGTAATTATGCATGCTCCTTTCTGGAGACCGTGCACCTTAATAAGCACCCAATTCTTTAGTCTACTTCAAAACTTTTAAAGGATTTATTTAGTTTATTTTGTGTGTATGAACATTTTGCTTGCATGTATGCCTATGCATCAGGTATGTGCAGTACCCAAAGAGCCCAGAAGAGGGTGCTAGATCCCCTAAACTGGAGTTAACTGATAGTTGTGAGTTGGCATGTGGGTGCTGGGAACTGAACCCAGGTCCTCTGTAAGAGTAGCAAGTGCTCTTAATTCTGAGCCATCTTTCCAGCAACCCCCCCAAAAATCCCCACTAGAATTTTTTTCTTTTTAAAGTAGAAAAGAAAAAGACAAACACTTGAAAAGTAGTCTGATGACGGATCAATGAGAAGCCCTTGGGAGGCACATTTTCTGAGGGAGAACCTTCTGAATGCCCCAAATTAGAGACAGCCTGTTCCACACACATCAGAGGCAGAAGGCCCGCGTGCTTCCTTACCCATAGCCCAGGTGGAGGGTGCAGGTCCAGATTCCTGTGTCTATGGTATGACTCTGTTCACTGTAAGCCAGGTATATCAGAATGGTGAATCCGAAACTGGAACAAGGGCCGGGATGCAGCTCTGATTGTATGCTAGAAGTATGGGGTCTGATCTCCAGAGCCCCATAAACTGGGTGTGGTGGCGCATGCATAATCTCAGCACTCTGGAGGTAAAGGTTGGACGATCAGAAGTTTACGGTCCTCTGTGCATCTAGTTCAAGGCCAGCCGGGGCTGCATGAGATCCTTTCCCCAAAAGACAGAATATTAAGATGATTGGTTTTTTTTTAAAAAATGGAAGCAAATCAAAGCACTGGGTCAAGCTCCTGGAGTCCAGTTGAAGAGTCTCAGGAGGGATTATATGAGCAAGGAAGGGGTGGAGGTCAAGATCATGGTGGGATCATCATGATCACAGAGACAGCTGACCCGAGCTAGTGGGAACTCACAGACTCTGGACCAGCATGGGACTGAACTAGGCCCTCTGAATGTGGGTGACAGTTGTGTGGCTTGATCTGTTTGTGGGGCCCCTGGCAGTGGGACCAGGATTTATCCCTGGTACATGAACTGGCTTTTTGGAGCCCATTCCCTATGGTGGGAGGCCTTACTCAGGAGGGGGAGGGGCTTGGTCCTGCCTCAACTTGATGTGCCAGGCTTTGTTGACTCCCCAAGGGAGACCTTACCCCCTCTGAGGAATGGATGGGGGGTGGAATAGGAGGAGAGTTGGGGTAGGGGAGCAGGGGAAGCAGAGGGAGGGGGAACTGTGGTTGGTATGTAAAATGAAAAAAAAAATTTATAAAGATGGAAGCAAATCACTTTCATTAGCTAAGGCCCAAACCTAATTCAAATTGTATTTCTGTTTTTTTTAAGTATATATATTTACTGCTTTCTTAAATATGAGTTTATAATGTCTTTTATTTATTGACGATATAATACATGTATACAATGCATCTTGATCCTATCCACCCCCAACTTCCCCCTCTCACTTGCCCCCACTCAAATCGTGTGTGTGGCGCCCAGGGAAGCAAGAAGAGCATGTCGAATCCCCTGGAACTAGAGTCACGAGTGGTTATGTGGTTACAAGCCATCGTGAAGGTGCTAAAAAGTGAACCCAGGTCTTGTACAAGAGCAGCAAGGGCTGTTAACTGATGAGTGATCTCTCCAGCCCCCAAACTGTAGATCTTTATGAGACCATAGATCAGCTTCTCTGTCTCCGCCCCGCCCCCCCACTGCCTAACCAGTTTCCCCAGCATTGAATTTACCGTTTCCTAAAATTGGTAGCTAACACGAGAAAGCCACACATCTGCTGCCCTGGTTAGTCCTAACTGTCAACTTGACACAGCCTAGAGTCATCTGAGAGGTGAACCCCCACCGAGGAACCATCTCGATCAGACTCCCCTATGGGCATGTCTATGGGGGATTCTCTCAACTGTTAGTTAATGTAGGAGGGCCCCGCCCACCGTGAGCGGCACCATTCCCTGGGCAGGTGATCCCGGGCTATGTAAGAAAGCTAGCTGGGCCTGAGCCTGGGAGCAAGCTAGTTAGCAAGCAGCATTCTCCATGGTTCCTGCTGTATTTCTTGGCTGTGAAATGAGTTTCTTGATTGGAGTTAATGATGTGTGGAGTAGCAAGCAGGCCTGCCCTGGGCTTCCTCTTGGACTCCTGTCAGTGATGGGCTGTGATCTGGGATTATAAAAGTCAGTCTTTCCTTTTCTAAGTTGCTTTTGGTCAGAGTGTTTTATCCCAGCAGGAGAAAGGAAACTGTAACACCTACCATGCAGGTCACCACCTCCCCATTTCATAGGTCCCATGGTACCACAGGGGCATCAGTGTGGTTCTTCTTTTTTGAGATGAAGTCCTGCTATGTATGCCAGGTTGGCCTTGGGCTTGTAGAGATCCTCCTGCCTCAGCCTCGCAAGGGCTAAGATTTCAGGCCTGTGCCTTCTGAGCGTGCCTTTTGGCTTACTTTCTTCATAGCTCTGTGGGAGCTCTTGATAGGGGCAGCTGTGCTCTGTACAGTGCTTTGCTTTGGTTTTCCGTGCTGTGGATAAAACCCAAGGCTTCATGCATGCTTAGCCAGTGGGGGCTCTTGTGGCTGCCCCTTTTCCCACAAGACAGCAAAGGGGAAACTTTAAAAAGGGTGTGACTTGGCTTCCATCATGGGGACTAAATACCAAGCAACATTAATATTATGATAGTTTGTCTCTGCCAACCCAGTCCTATATAATGTGTGTGTGTGTGTGTGTGTGTGTGTGTGTGTGTGTGTGTGTGTGTGTGTGTGTGTTCATGCATGCATGCATGCACGTGTGGACGTCAGAAGATAACTTGCAGGAGTCAGTTCTCTCCTTCCACCATGTGGGTTTGGGAATTGAACTCCGGTTGTAAGTCTTGGCAGTGAGCACCGTTACCTGTGAAGCCATCTCGCTAGCTATAATTTACCTTCCAGAGGGTATGACAGTCTTTAAACCATTGAAATCAGTGGCCCTAGCCAGGCATGATGGCTTACACGTGTGATTTTAGCATTTGGGAGGCTGAAGCAGGAGGATTGCTGTGAGTTTGAAGTCAGCCTGAGCTATACAGAGTGAATCTGTCACAAACCAAACAAAATTGGTGTTCTTAACCAGAGTTAGATGTTGCCTCCAAGAGACCATTCCAGTGTCTGAAGACTTTGGGTTGTCATAACTTGACATGGGAAGGGCTTTGTAGTCAGAGTGAGTGCCTCGAGCTGGTAGACAGGCCAGGCACACAGCAGGCCAGTCTTCACATCAAAGAACCATCTGGCCCCGATGCCAGACGTGGGAAGAAACCTTGAGCTAAGCGACATGAAAAGGGAGTTGCATTTCCTGTTATCCAACTAGCTCAGCAAATGGAAGCCTTTCCTTTTCTGTGTCCTTCCCAGCCCCTGCCCCACTGTGAGTATATGCATTTCCGTAGTCAGGCAGAACCATAGTCCACTTTTCCTCCCTTGACATTGCATTCTGAGTTGGGGGCCGCTTGCCGCAGTGTTTTGTCGGTTATTGTGTGTATGAGCGCATGCGTGTTCACGTGCAGGTCAGCGTGACGCTGGACATCCTTCCTGTTGCTTTGCCATCTTCTTTATTTAAGTATTTATTGAGTCAGGGTCTCACTATGTAGCCTTGCTACATAGACCATGCTGGCCTTGAACCCACAGAGATCTGCCTGACTCTGTCTTCTGAGGTGTGCTCTACCACACCCAGCTGCCACTGTATTCTTTGAGACAGCGTCTTGTACTAAACTGAGTGCTCACCAATTGGCTAGAATGGCTGGCTGACAAACTCTGGGGGTCCTTCTGTCCCCATCTTTCCAGCACTGGAATTACAGGCTCTCACTCCTTCCCATGCTTAGTACTTCACACTGGTGCTTGAAATCCAAGTTCAGGTACGCATGATTGCACAACAGACCCCTTGCCTACTGGACCACCTCCTAGCCCTTTGTTACCATGTTTAATGGATATAATACAATACTTTAAACAAGTCAATACCCCAGGTCTTACCCGGCCAGTCTAAGTTTCTTACTGGAGGTATTGGGGGAAGAAAGAACGGTGCTTACCAAGTGGCCTCTTGGGGACTGTGTGGCTCAATGATTCTGCTGTGGCCAGCCTCCTCTTTCCACAGTCCAGGCTCCAGCATCATTGGCCTCATCATCAAAAGGCCTTTATGAAGTGCCTTGTGAATACATCATCCCACTGGGAGGATCTCCTGCAGAGATCACCCTCCCAGCTTTCTGACATCCAGGGCAGGCTGGCTCAGGTAGACAGCATACATGCAAGCCAACCACGAAGGCATCTAAAGACCAGGCCTTGGGCCTCAGGCAGAGTGCAAACACGGACCCTTAGACAACATTCATGCCAAGGGTAAGCGTAGCTAGGAATGCAAAGCCATGCTGCACTCCCAAAGCCAGCCTGGCCCTTGGATCCCAACTGGCTAGGGACCGCTCGGAGGACAGGGATCTCAGGAGCCCCTGGGAAGGGAGTGGACAAAGACAGGAAGGGAGAGGACCAGGTCAAGGAACTGCTCAGGCACGCGGGAAAATTGATGCTAGCCAGAGACCCCTGTCCCTCTGTCTCATCTCGGTCCCTCTGTCTCACCTCCTCGCCCGTTCCTTGTCTTCACTCCACAGGTGTTCCACGAGCAGGGCATCCTCTTTGGCTACCGACACCCACAGAGTTCCGCCACTGCCTGTATCCTCAGCCTTTTCCAAATGACCAATGAGACCCTCAACATCTGGACGCACCTGCTACCCTTCTGGTACCTTTCGGCCCCCTGGACAGCCTATCTCATGCGGGATCCTTGGGGGCTACACTTCTTAAGACACAGCTGGGTGGCAGGGAGGTTTTATGCTAGAGTCAGGGGCCCCCCGGTGGGTACAGGTGCATGTATGACCAACGGGGAAGAAGCTGGGACTGTCATAGACCCAGTACCAGGCTGTGAACTGCCATAGGATTCTAGGGTTTCTATTGACTGGGTAGCATTTATCTTCATCTCCTTCGGTCTTACAGGCTTTGCTGGTCTTCAAGAAGTCTTTATTAAAATGTCACTAACTTGAGCAAGTCACTTAATCTCTCCGAGCCAGGCATTTTCTGCCTGTAGAGCAGGCGTGATCCTCGGTCCGTGTCTTGGGGCTGCTGTGAGGAGTGAGAAGAGACCCCGAGACAGACAAAGACACAGGAGCTGGAGATGCAGCTCAGTCTGTAGTGTGTCTGCAACAAGCCCTGGTTTCAGTCCCTAGCACGGCATAAACTAGGCCCAGAAGCCTCACACTATAATCTCAGGACTCTGGAGACAAAGGCTGGAGGAGTCAAGGTCACCTTCAGCTACATAGTGAGTTCGAGGCCAGCCTGGGCCACATAAGACCCTCTCTGAAAAGACAACAAAAAAGACACAGGCACAGTCGTGGGTGCTTGTAGTTATCTGGGGATTAGGGTAGCCATATACTGTCGGTCACCTTTAATGGAGCCGAGCTATGGCAAGTAAGGGTGCAGGAATGGGGGTTCCAGGAAGGCCAAGAGGCTGAGAAAGGTGGGGTGAAGACCAGCTTTACACACCTCGAGCCTTTGCTTGGTATGGAGAGGTAGGACAGGGTCACATCTCCACATTCCAGTGCAGCTCTCTCTGAGTATCTGTGGGGATTGATTGGTTCCAGGATCCCCTGAAGATGCCCGAACCTGCAAGTTGTCCATGCGTCAGGTGGCACAGTATTTATAGATCTCTCTGCACATCCTCCCATGCACTTTAAATCATCTCCAGATTCCTTAAAATACTGAGGCAAAGTAAACACTATGCCAAAGGTTGTTACACTGTTCAGACAATAAGGACAAGAAAAATATCGGTTTGTGTTCAGTACAGAAGCAACCCCTCCCTGCTAGGATATTTGGGTTGAATCAGAGGAATTAGAATGTGGAGGTCTGGAGGATTGGGTATATGTCAGGCCTAGGAGGACCTCTGTGCTGACATGATGACGGATGCAGCTGGGGAGGGGACACCTTCTATACAGCACACAGGGGGTGGCCCAGGCCAGGCCTGAACAAATCCTTTGAGTCACATTGAGAAACTGAGATAGGTGGAGAGTCCCCGAGTGTGGCAAGCGGACACGAGCCCCAGGAAGGTCCCTGTGCTTCAGCATGGAACAGCCAGCCCTACTGGATGTCAGAAGACAGAGTGGGGGGATCCAGCAACTAAGAGGAGGCGGGAGAGAAGACACAGTCTTGGGGTGAAGTGGGATGATCCATAGAGAAGCTTGACTGCCCTGCGGCCTGCACTCTGGGCAGTGGCAGCAAGATCTGGTAGCTCAAGAAGGCCACTAGCCATGTTAAATCTGTGCTTACATAGAAATCTGAGGCTGGCAGGATGGGTCAGTGGGTAAAGGCAATGGGCAAGCAAGCCTGGCAGCCTGAGTTTGATCTCCAGAACCTATGTAAAGGTAGAAAGAGAAAACTAACATCACACAGTTGTTCTCTGGCCTCTATATATGTGATATAGCATGCACATGTGCACACACACACACACACACACACACACACACACATACACACACCACATTCCATATATACAATGATAAATGCAAAATTTTTTAAATACTTTATGCTATCTGAGCATGGTTGCACATGCCTGTAATCTCAGGACTTGGAAAGTTAAGGTAGAAAGATCGTGACTTTGAGGCCCAGCCTGGACTATCCACTGGGGTCCTGTTTCAAAGCGATGTCGTCAACAACCCGTACAGGCTGACAAACTGAAGACTGCAGAAGGGAACAGATCCAGGCTATCCCTCTGCCCCTCATTGTCCTCCCTGGAGCTGCTGGGGCCACCTGTTTTCTGTGTGCCCTCCAGAGCTTTCCCAGAAAGCCTTGACTGTGGCATATGTGTCCCGCCACCTGTCATTTCTCCCATGGTCTCCATCAAAGATCACATTATCTGTGCCTGAGATGCTAAGGCCTCCAAATAGGTGTTCTGACTGGAGGATGGGCCACAGTTTGCTTAGGCTTTCTTGTTGTCTTTGTTTCGTTTTTTTGAGACAGGGGCTCATGTAGCCCAGGCTGGCCTTGAGCTCTCTATATAACCAAGGATGACCCTCCTTCCTCTGTATCCCAAGTACATGTGCCATTATTCCTGTCTGAGTTAGGCTGTTTTGAAGTTTGTGCCACTTCGTAATGCCTGCCATTGCTTGTGTGTCTTGAGGTCCATGTACAGCTAAGCCGTCTACACTGCTCCCAGTGCCAAGCCAAGCTCTCAGATGATCCACTCCAACAGGGCAGAGCACTGTGGAGAATCTGCATTAGGATACCTCAAGCAAGTAGGAGGAATAATCTGTTGTTGGCAAAAGGAACATTTGGGAGGAATAGCAAACAGCTTAAGTGCCCCATCTGCTAGACCACAGGAGAAAGACCACAGTGGCAGCCAGAAAGACTTTGTGACCCTCCTTCAGCACGGTGTGAAGAGATTTGGAGAGTCCCTTTTCTTGATGGACATTGTGGGAAAGGGACCTAGCTCTCCAGGAGAGGTCTGTGAAAGGGAGGTGTTTGTAGGCAGAACCCACATATGGTTGTAGGCCAGGTAAATATGACTTAGGATAAACTTCCCACACTCAGAGCTACCACGAGAGGGGATGAGGCCCTCATTGTTAGGGGTATGTAAGCTGAGACTGGAGACTATCTTAGGCAGGATGCTGTAGGAAGGATCGTCTCTAAGTACTGTCTTTTCACCCTACTGTTACCAGTTCACTGCTTCAAGTCAATAAGGCACACACACACACCCTGCAGCCTCCCTGGTACATGTCATTTCATTGTAGTGAAGAGTCACCGGATGGGCCGTGTCCCAGTGGGGTGGGAGGCAGAAGACATTCAAGAGGGGATTGAGTGGGTGCATGTTCTGTTCTAGGTTCTTTGTGTGGAGGTTCGTGACTGCACTGTATATGACAGACATCCAGAATGACAGCTACTCATGGCCTATGCTCGTGTACATGTGCACCAGCTGTGTGTATCCCCTTGCATCCAGCTGTGCACACACCTTCAGCTCTATGTCCAAGAACGCCCGGCATATCTGCTACTTTCTGGACTATGGTGCTGTCAACCTCTTCAGCCTGGGTACGTGAGGCCCTTGCCCTTCCATCCCCTCACCTTGAGAGTGCCGCTTGCCTGTCTCCCAAGAGACTTGATGGGTTTTGGAAGAGTCGTGAGGATGCAGGCCCTGTCCAGGGCTCTGTTAAAGAAGCTTGTTCATACCTGTGCTGTCTGTGGATATACCCTGACCTGCAGTGTTTGCCAATTCCTGTGGTGTAAATGCCCCCGCCTTGCCTCCCATCCTGTTTTCTGAGTGGCATCACCGGTTGTAGAGGTCTAAAGAGAAGCCTAGGAGCAACCACACAACATAGTAACTCCATCACACAGACCCATATGCTAAGTGTGTAGCCCAGGCTGACCTTGAGCTCTCTATATAACTTAGGAGTTTGGTTACTGTGGTTTATTTAATTGTAACTTTTAGTGATGGCCAAGATTAACCACAGGCTTGCAAGGACTCTGGAATGTTCAGCTTGGCTCTCACGGGCCACCACGGGCTGCCCCCAGCACATCAGGGCTGGGATCTGGTGTACGTGGAAGAGAAAGGGAGGACGGAGTCACAAACCACATTTCCCAGAGGCTTGGAGGTGTCCTACTTGCCCAAAGCCCTGCAGGAGTGGAGCCGTGAACTGCTGGTGAGGCGGGTGAGGTGGTGCTGCCCCATCCTCCTGGACCTTTTTTCTGACCAGGAAGCCCCTCCTCCTGCTTCTTAGCATCCATCCCTTAGGATGCTGGTGCTGTCTTCCTCCCGCCTGGACCCGCTCCAGCTGTGAAAGCCAGTCACTGTATCTGCTTTTGCAAGAGTTTGTCCCGCAGGAGGTTACACTCATCTGTTGTTGTTGTTTGTGTTTTGGCTCTTGTGGGGGGCACTGCCACCCAGCTCCCAAACAAATCACACATGGAGGCATAGACTTAGCTATGAATGCCCGGCCTTAGCTTGGCTTAGTTTCTAGCCAGCTTTTCTTAACTTAAATTATCCTGTCTACCTCTTGCCTCTTAGCTTTCCTATTCTCTTACTTCTGTAAATGTTACTCTTACTCCATGGCTTGCTGTGTAGCTGGGTGGCTGGATGGCTGGGTGGCTGGATGGCTGGGTGGCTGGATGGCTGGGTGGCTGGGTGGCTGGCCCCTGATGTCCTCCTCCTTCTCTCTTGTTCTTCTATCTCTCCTCCAAGATTTCTCCTATATATTCTCTCTGCCTGCCAACCCTACCTATCCTTTCTCCTGCCTCGCTATTGGCTGTTCACTCTTTATTAGACCCTCAGGTGTTTTACACAGGCACAGTAACACAGCTTCACAGAGTTCAACAAATGCAACATAAACAAAAGTAACACACCTTAAAATAATATTCTAGAACACTCATCCTTCTTCTTCTCTTCATAATTGGACACCTGCATTTCCCTCTCTCTGTCTCTCTCTCTCTCTTACACACACACACACACACACACACACACACACACACACACACACACCCCTCAATACTCCACTGTCCAGTTCTCTCCAATCATTAAAACTGGTTGCCATGGCCCCAACTCCTGCATGTCTCCCCTCCTACATCCCTGTTCTCATTCCTTTTTGGTTCCTTCCTCTCCTCTACCCCATAACTGGGCACACTCTGAACTGTCAGTAACTCAGGATTAACCATGGGGCCTTTTGTCTAACATGCCCAGGAACAACCTCCCATCCCCTAACATCTCTGAACAAGGGACTCCTAAACCTTCCCTTTAAACACCGGGTGAGCCTGAAGCCAGGACTGAGTCTTCTCCCCACCCTGTCCCACCCTTGGCCTACCCCTCTTCCTCTCAGGTCCCTGGCTAGGGGTGCTACCTCCTGCTTTGCTCAAGTCCGAACTAATGAGATTCGGCTTCTCCTCCCCACCTCTGCTTCCCATTCTATCTAATCGGTGATCAAGCTCAGGCTGTTCCATGGACCCTTAATCAGCCTGACTCAGACCTGGAGCTTCTTAGAGGCCTTGCCCTGCAGCTCCGCTGTGTTACGTGGGAGGTTCCTGCCTCATCTCCTGCCAGGTCTCCTCCCACTAGAAGGCTTTCAGAGTTCTCATTACCTGGGATAAGGTCCAAACCCTCAACCCAGTGGCTTCCTGAGGGCTGGCTCTCCCTCCCTCCCTCCCTTTTTTGAAAGAGGGCCTTGAACTTGCTATGTAGCCGAGAATGACCTAGACCTCTGACCCTCCTGTTCTCATCTTCGAAGAGCTGTGAGAACAGGTGTGTGCCACTATAGTGATGTATGCAGTGCTGGGAATGGGACTCGGGGTTGTGTGCCTGCCAGGCAAGCCCTCTACCAACTGACCTACATCTTCAGCTGCTTCCTGGCGATTCTAATAAAAGCAAGCATTTTGATAAGTTCTTCTAGGCCATCTATGTGCTGAGTGAGCCCCTGAAACACATCTTTCTTAAAATATTTATTTTTATTTCTATTTGTCTGTGTGCCACATATGTGGTTGCCCATGGAGGCAGCAGGAACATCAGGTCTTTTGGAACTGGAGTTACAATTGGTTGTGTGTAACTGAAAGTTTTCCTGTGCCTGCCCAGCTCCCGTGGCCTTGAGGTCCTGTAGCCGCTCAGACACAAGTAAACACACAGAGGCTTATATTAATTAAAACTGCTCAGCCATTAGCTCAGGCTTACTACTGACTAGCTCTTACACTTAAACTCAGCCCATTTCTGTTACTCTATATGTAGCCACGTTTTTCGTGGCTTTGCCTGTGTGCCATTACATGCTGCTCCCTGGACACCGGGCTGGCATCTCTTGACTCGACCTTCCTCTTCCCAGAATTTTCCTTGTCTGTTTATCCCACCTATACTTCCTGCCTGGCTACTGGCCAATCAGCATTTTATTAAACCAGTGTACAAAAGCATTATCCCACAGCAGTTGTGAGCTGCCCAGTGTGGATGCTGGAAACTGAACTAACTCTCTCAGGCCCCTCTGATACATATTTTGACACAACACTCAGGTCCAGATCCTGACCTTGTACTACCAGTCCTAAATTCAGTCTAAGATGAATTTATTAACTTCTTTAAGCCTTGTTCTCTTGAGCAGACGTAGGAGGGTTATGAACAAATTCAAATGCTTTTGAGTCCATGTCTATTTCACAGGGCAGCCATTACTGTGATTGACAGTGGTCAGCTTTACCTGCTCCCTGGCCTGTCTCAAACACCTACCCTCCACCAGACCCCCACCCCCACCCCCTGTCTCAGGTCAGCTTTGCTTCCTGCTGTATTTTCAGGCAGGTATGAGGCCCTTACGCTTGCATTGCATACAACGCTTGGTGCACACCTTGACTCCAGTTGGCATTGGTGGAACATCTTGGTCCAGACATATCCCTGAGCATTGGGTCTGGAGAAGGGTTCCCTGGTCTCCTGGAGCTGAGTTCCTGGGTGAACTCCCATGGGAACTCTGCACTGTTCCAGGAAGGTGATGCTCAGCCCTCTCTGTCAGCCCTTGTGTTTGTTTACATGTGTGTAAAGGTGAGGGGACCTCGGGTGGTCCTTAGGTGCCCGGCACTTCTTGAGACAATATCTCTCACTGGCCTGAGAGTTACCAGTTAGGCTAGGCTGCCTGGCCAATGAGTCCCAGGGGTCCATCTGTTCCTGCCTCCCCAGCACTGGAACTGCAGGTGACTTCACCAGGCCGTGGTCCCCTCAGGTGACTTCACCAGGCCGTGGTCCCCTCAGGTGACTTCACCAGGCCGTGGTCCCCTCAGGTGACTTCTACCAGGCCGTGGTCCCCTCAGGTGACTTCTCCAGGCTGTGGTCCCCTCAGATGACTTCACCAGGCCATGGTCCCCTCAGGTGACTTCTACCAGGCCGTGGTCCCTTGCCCCTGTGATCCACCTGTTGAATGGGACAAAAGGCTGGTTGAGTCTGGCCTGTTTTTGCCTCTAGCAATGAATCCAAGGTGCTTGATGACTTGAAACATCGGTTTTCAACCTGTGGGTCAAGACCCCTTTGAGGGTTGAGCACCTCTTCCAGGGGGGTCACTTAAGACCATTGGAAAACACAGATATTTACATTATGACTCATAAGGGTAGCAAAATTACAGTTCTGAAGTAGCAACAAAAATGATTTTATGGTTGGGGGTCACCAGAAATAAGAATTAAATGGCTGCAGCATTAGGAGGGCTGGAACCACTGTATTCGAATAACAGGAACTGGGGCCAGATCCAGCCTCTCCCAAAGGTTAGGGTGCAGGTCCCAGCCACTCCGAGATGGGCAGTAGTATCTCTCGTTCCTCCAACCAAAAGCTTTCATAGCTAGTCTCTCTAGAAGGTCTTGACGTAGCTGCCTTCCTCACACTCCAAAACCCAGAGCCAAACCCCACACTCACTGGTCACCCCCTAGCCCATTGACAGGACATCCCTGTCCTTAGGGATGCCTTTTTTTCCCTGTGATGCTGAGCTTCTCAGGAAGCACCCTGTCCACAGGCAGATGAGTTTGGTCGTGTCATTAGTGACAGCCTGTGGTTAGAAGCGGGGATTCATCTCCAGGCTGCCTGGGTTTGAAGCTTATTTCTATTTTCTTTTTGTGTGACTCTGGGTGAGCTACTAGATCTCCTTGTGCCTCTATATGCTCATTTATAAAATAAGTGTAAGCTTCATATGGGACAGGATTGTAAAGACAGTATGCATTCACACACACACACACACACACACACACACACACACACACACACACACACACACTGAGAAGGACATTGAGTGGATGGAGAGGCAAGGGGAGGATATTCTGAGAAGGCCCAGAGGCAGGCTAGCTCAGGAGTCCATGCAGAAGATGAAGGCTAAGGTAGTCTTTCCCGGGAGTCTTCATGGTGCTGTAGCCTGGCCTGGGTCTCAAGGCTGGTGTTTCTTTCGCAGGCTCAGCCATTGCCTACTCCGCATACACGTTCCCTGACGCACTGGTCTGCAGCACCTTCCATGAATGCTATGTAGCCCTGGCTGTGCTGAATACCATTCTCAGCACTGGCCTCTCCTGCTATTCCAGGTACCGGGCACTCTGGTCTCAGGTGGGAAGATGGGGAGGACCTACTGTGCATCCCCAAGGGAGGTGCCCAATGGAGAAGGCTCTGGGAGCCTTGTTGTCCCATGTATTGGTGACTTTTCTCATCGTTAGGACAGAATACTGACAAAAGTGACCGGAAGGAAGAGGGGTTTTCTCTGGCTCACAGTTGGAGGGTACAGTCCATCCAGGCAGGAAGTCATGGCAGCTGCGGCTTGAGGCAGCTGGGTTTTGTTTTTTAAATGTGTGAGGATAGGTTTCTGTACAACATCAGAAAGGTTCACCCCAGCTTGCCCTCCCTTTGCCAGGATGTTTGAGAAGGGTAGGAGGCAGATATGGTTTGCTCCCCCTGGGGGTGAAAGCGCCTTGTGGTGTGTCCTACACTGGATTTTGTGTGGCTTCATCCCCTGAGAAAATGCTGGGGATGGGGAATGGGGAGGGTCTCTCTCTTATCTTTGTGGAAATCACAGAATTCAAGCTAGGTGGAGCTTGAATCCACCTGTAGAGCCAGGAAATAAAGCCCCTTGTCCTGGGTTGCTATGTCTTTCTAATTCCAGAAGGAATTAAAGGGTGTGGTATATAGCCTCTGCACCAGGGTGGAAATCTGGGGATCCCACTGATGGTGGAGAGGGGTTAGGTCTCCATTGTGAATGAAGCAATGTGCATGCATGATAAGAGCTCTGCTCACAGCACAGAGATGCAGTGTGCCTGGGGATCTTTCCTCTGGCTGCCTGGGCTGCTGGGCAGGCCTGGACTCTCCCGGATCTGGTCTTTGGGTCAGTTATTGCCCTGTGTGGTTGTGGCTCGGGCGTTCAGAACTGGGGTCAGTGGGAACAAAGGCTGTGGGTAGCGGGGGTTGAGGCAGCTCATGGGTGTGAAAGATACAGTCCCACGAAACTGATTTCCCAGGGGCTCACAGTGCAGCGTATGAGGGAGATTTGCTCCCTCTTATCCCATGGGTGCTCTTGAGCAGGGAGACATGAGGAGTTTGTAGATAGAAGGATAGGGAGAGACAGACAGAAAACACAGGAGAGCCTCAGGAGGGCCTGGGTCCAAACCCACCGGCCCCTTCTGTCTCTGCTAAAGGGCTTTTTTAAACAAATGCCAAGGGGTGGAGCAAAGATCTCCCCCAGCACAGCCAAGTGTAGACCATCCCAGACACCTGGTGACCATGTACATGGTCCAGCCATCCCCTAACGCAGCCCTGCTCAGATCTCACTAGGAAACCTCTGTGGGCTCCCACAAGCGTATAGGACATTTGCAGCCTTTTAAGTTAAGTTTTTAAGTGTTCCTGATTGACCGCCTGTTAGCCACCAGGGTCCATTGCTTTCTTCTGCCCAGAGTCGTCCTTGACCGTGCAGGCTCAGTGGTGGGTGTTGGGGATTCAGCAAGCCTGATATATTTGGATGGTGTTTGTCACTGGTCCAGGGATGTCTTGTGCCCCCGTGTTCTGGGCCTCCTCTCCTTGACTATGACACAGTTTGTTTCTGATGGTCCAGAAAGCGCATCTGGGGCAATTGTCCCCACCCACCTGACTAGCGTTCCTCAAAGGCTGCTTGGGCTCTGGGGACCCATGTGAAAAGTCCACCACACCTGGAAGAGTGAGGTCTTGCCTCAAGAGGGTGCCAGGTACAGGAAAGGCAGGACACACACACACACACACACACACACACACACACACACACACACGAGTCTGAGAGGGAGCTGCCATTGCTCTGTGGAGCAGAACAGAGAGCAAGGGAAGCAGGTCATGTGGCTGACATACACTTGGATACACAGGGCCCCGAGAGGCTGTCTTAGAAGTGAGAGGGAGCACGTGACAGACCTGAAGTTGGAGATAAGGGCCTTTGGGGCAGCACAGCCAGCCTGGGCAAGGATGGTAGTGTGGGAGAGTGGAGGGCCCACGCTGCACTACAGGGTGGGAGGGAGGAGGGCTAGAGAGGGCCCGAGGGCAAGCTGGGGAATCTCATGCCCTCTCAGAGGTACACCCTTTGCTCTTTGTGGACAGTGATCTCCTGGGCTCTTCTTTCTGGCCTCAGCTTCCTCGCCACAGGACCTTTGAGATATGTCACCAGTAGCCGTGTGGGGGTCCTCTCATGCTGCCACACTTGAGAACGGAGCTAAGCCCTTTGCTTTGTGGAAGATGATCAGAGCTCCAGCATGCTCCCTTCTTTTTTTTTTTTTTTCTCGAGACAGGGTTTCTCTGTGTAGCTTTGCGCCTTTCCTGGGACTCACTTGGTAGCCCAGGCTGGCCTCGAACTTACAGAGATCCGCCTGGCTCTGCCTCCCGAGTGCTGGGATTAAAGGCGTGCGCCACCACCGCCACCGCCACCGCCACCACCACCCGGCGCATGCTCCCTTCTTGTCCCTGCCCTCAGCCGGCAGCCAGCAAGCTCGCCTGTCACTGTGGCTCTTCCTTTCAGCATGCCTGTCTGGCCAGTGAGTTTGGTTTGGTTTAGTGTATTTTGATAGAGGGTTCCACTGTCTAGCCCTAGCTGCTCGGGCACCCATTATGTAGCCTAAGACTACCCTCTCACCTTAGCACCCCACCCCCCACCCCCACTCCCGCCCACCCCGGTGGGGGTGCAGACATCCACACCTCTCCCAACTTTTCATGAATTTTGTTTTTGTTTTGCAAAGTCACTGAGGTCAGTATGGTGACCGTCACAAAGTAAATCTGGACCAGAGGAGCAATACCTCAGTATGCAGAGTGGCCAAAGCCAGCCTCCAAGGGGCTGGGGTCCAAGCAGGGGCAGTGGCTCAACAGACGAAGTTCTGGAGGCTGTGACATCTCAGCCAGGTGGCTGAGCGCAGCCAGGGCTAGGGCCAGGCATGTGAAAACTGCTCCCTTCCTGCGAGTCTCCAAACTAGGATAAAGCCCCCACACAATAGAAGACAGCACAGTCACGCATGCACGCTTTGCAATTGAATAACTTCCAATTAACTGCTTGCATCAAGCATTAGTTTTGGCATTTCTGTTGCCAAGATTTATTGACTCACCCTGGTCTTATGGGAGGCTTCTCCCCGGATCCAGTGTTTCCTGCAACTGCTTCCTAGGCAGAGCTCTCAACTCCAGGGCGGGTAAGCCAGCTGTGCTTTGGAAACTGTTGCTGGGTGCTTTGGAGGCATCTCTAGCCAAAGCTGCTGCTGCTGCTAGGAATCGCTGGCTGTGGCGACATCCTGTGGTTGGATGTGGAATTGCATCTTGGGAGTGATCCCATCTTCTGTGGTTAAGGGCTTTTTTTTTTTCTTTTTCTTTTTCTTTTCTTTTCCCCCTCCTCTGTTGCTTTGTCTCTTCTATTCTTCTTCTTCTTCTTTTTCTTCTTTTTATCCCCTGTAGACTCAGCTTTGCTGCTGGAGAGGCTGGTCCATTTGCCCCCCGGGGAAGCACTTTTTCAGACCTGGTGACACGTGGTCTCAAGTCGCAGGAAACCCGTGCTTTGGGGGACAACCCTCACCAGGTCAGAGCCAGGTTTTCTTCGTGTGTAAGTGGCCACAAGGAGCACTCTTTAGGAGTGGGCCTGTCCTGGACGCGGCAGATGCCTAAGGGGCCTATTGCAGTCGGATAGCTTCTGCTGGGGTTGTGGGAATGTGTTTGCTTCCTTTGGCCCCTGGGGGAAGAAAGACAGAGGCTGGGGCTATCCAGGGCAGGCAGGGGCAACGTGACACTTTGGGGACAGACACCGTGGGCTAAAGCCTAGCTGTGTCTGTTCTCAGCTCCTTCTTGGACCGTCCACCCAGAATCTGTCCCCTCTTGGTCTTACCCTCTGCTCCAGTAGAGCTGGAGTTGGGCAGGAGTGGTTGGTTTGCTTTCTGATCTACAGTTAGCATCTGGGCTATGCATGATCGGGGGGTAGGGGCTCATTTCTTCCAGTCTTTACAACGCTGTGAGGGAGGGACAGGTCACACACAGCTTTAGAGGCAACCTGCCCTAAGCAGCGTGGTCCTGAGGTGTCCAGCCGAGGTGGAACCTAGTGTGTCCCCATGAGACCACAGCCCTGCTGCCTCCTTCCCCAGTGTCGCGGCATAATCAAGATGGTAATTGAGTTCTGGTTTGGTTTTTTGACACTGTAGCCCAGGCTGACGTCAAATTCACCAGATAAAATATATTAAAAATGACGTTGAACTTCTGATCTTCCTGACCTCAAATTCACTTATAGAATATATTAAATTTATTTAATATAAAATATGCTTGCTATGAAAATATATTAAAAATGCCTTTGAGCTTCTGATCTTCCTGACTTGGCCTCCAAATGCTGGAATCACAGGACTGTATCACCGTGTCTGGTTCATGAGTGCTAAGGATGGAACCCAGGGCTTCCTGCAGGGTGGCCAGACAGGCATTCTGCCGGTTCCAGAGCTGCAGTTTTGTGTGGATACCTTGCTCAACCCTAACTTCCTCATATCCAGTCTGGGTATCCAGAGCCAGGTTACCCAGGTCTGAAGCTGTTACCCCTCTCTAGGTCCCCCGAGACCCAGTGGTGGCCTGTCCAGGACGACCTGCCTCCTGCTTCTTATAGTCAGCGCAATGGGTTCCTGTTGGATTCTGTCTTTGCTTTGGAGAGCAGTGGGAAAGCTCATGGAGGAGAGAAAGACAGACCCTCTGCACATTCACTTTCCCCAGGCCAGTGTTCCTGTGCAGGATATAAATATTCTAGAAACTTCTCTTGGTGATCCAGCACCCCCTTGAACCCAGGTCTTTGTAGGGCATCACCTGGGTGGTTCTAGTCGTTTGGGTGCATCTCTGCTTCTGTAGAATGTGCGACCCGGGGTCTGCCCTTGAGAGGTCCCTTCCTGTCTTGATGATGCCAGCCTTCTAAAACCTCTTTTTTTTTTTTTTTCTGAGACAAGGTTTCTCTGTGTAGCTTTGTGCCTGTCCTGGAACTCACTTTGTAGATCAGGCTGACCTTGAACTCACAGAGATCTGCCTGCCTCTGCCTCCCGAGTCCTGGGATTAAAGGCGTGCGCTACCACTGCCCAGCTCTCTCTTTTTTTTTTTTAATTTAACTTAATTTTATATGCATTTATTGTGCCAGCGGTGCTGGGTTCCCTGGAACTGGAGTTACAGACAGTTGTAAGCTGCCATGTGGTTGCTGGGAATTGAACCCAGGTCCTCTGGAAGAGCAGCCAGTGCTCTTAACTGCTGAGCCAACTTTCCTTCTAAACCCTCTTTGCTGTCAGTCTCCCCTGACCTTTGCAGGGTTTCTGTCTGAGGCCCCGCCCCCGCCCCCGCCCCCGCCCCCGCCCCCGCCCCCGCCCCCGCCCCCGGCTTGGTTTGCACCCATTGCGTTTCAAGCTCTCTGAGCAAGTTTCTCCTCCTTAGCTGAGGTTTTGTCGTGTCCACCAGTGTAGGAGGAAGGGGAGAGGCTCGTGGAGAGGCTGTGGTCCACAGGAGGCCATGTAAAAAATGCTTGTCCTCTGGTGATGACCCAGGTGCTCATGTGTGCGTTCCTGAAAGGCCTCCATTTCCTCCCTGACTTCAGGTTTCTCGAACTCCAGAAGCCCCGGCTCTGCAAGCTGCTCCGGGTCCTCGCCTTCGCCTACCCCTACACTTGGGACTCACTCCCCATCTTCTACAGGGTAAGGAGGTGGGCTACGTCTCCTCTCTTCTTGTCAGCAAGGACAGCGGCTTCATTGTCTCCTGAGCTCTGAGGGAGTCATAACACTGCAGTGGGCTCCGGGGGACCCATGGGAGCTGAGACTCGGGTGCTGCAGTTAGAGATAGTGTGAACACGGAGGCACTGGAGACAAGCTGACTAGGGCCTTAAGGAACAACCACAGAGACCTGGGCAAGTGCCTTAGTTAGGGTTTCTGTTGCTGTGAAGAGATACCCTGACCACGGCAACTCTTATAAAGGAAAACATTTCATTGGGGCTGGCTTACACTTTCAGAGGGTTGGTCCACTATTGTCATGGCAGGACATGGTGCTGGAGAAGGAGCTGAGAGTTCTACATCTTGATCCGCAGGCAATAGGAAGTGAATTGCGAACCACTCTGGGTGTAGCTTGATCATAGGAGACCCCAAAGTCCATCCCCACAGTGACACACTTCCTCCAACAAGGCCACACCTCCTAATAGTGCCATTCCCCGTGACCCAGCATTCAAACACATGAGTCGATGGGGACCATTCCTATCTAAACCATCACCACCACCAGGCAGGCGGCTGGGGTTTGGTGATCATCGGTGCCAGTTGGGCCAATCCATGCACGATTGTGTATGATCAGTAATACAGTGTGTTGGTGAGGGGAAAGCCGGGGATGAAAGTCTTCAAGGCCAGATGGGAATGAGGCAGAGAGCACAATGGAGGGGAGCTGAGACTGGACAGCAGGACAAGAGGGGAAAAGACTCTCACTCGCAGGACACGTGAGCCGAGTTCAAATTCTAGTCTCCATGGTTCCTCGCTGTGTGATTTAGGCAATACATATAACCTTTCTGAGCCTCGGCTTCCTCATCTGTGCCTGAGGCTAGCGTCTGCTTCTATAGGAGATATTGAGGATTCTTGGATATAATGGATTTTATAGGTTCAGCGTTACCTTGTGAGTAGGCTTCTCCTAGAGGCAGTGTGAGGCCCAGATGGCAAGGGGTGAGGGTACAGGGTAGTGAAGTTTTTTCACTTGCTACCTGGGACACTGGGCATTTTCTATGTATTGCCCTGGGTGTGTCTACAGGAGACTTGAGGATGGGAACGTGACTCAGAGCTCCCACTGCAGACACACACAGGGACTTCAGCTGACATCTGTCACCCGTTACATGCAGATTTCATGCTGTGTGATGCTGTCTAGAGGCTGTGTGGGACAGTAGGGTGGAGGGGCAGGAGGTGGCTGCACTAATACCAGAATTGCCCTGCCTAGATTCTCACCCTCACTCCACTGATTATTGGTGCTTTGCAAGTCAATCTCACTTTCCTTGTGTGCAAAATTCAGAAGTAGAGTCTGCCTTCAGGACCCAGAGGCCCGAGGAAACACATTCCCACAATGCCAGCAGAAGCTGCCCAACTGCAGCAGGCCCCATCTGAGGCATAGAGATAGCTGGCCTGGTGCCTCTAATAAGGGGAATCTGCTATTGTTATTTATAAAAATAATACAAAAACTCTGCTTAACCTTGAAGCAATATAATGGCCATACACTGCGGGGTGGTTGATGCTGAGTCTAAGGTCCTCTGTGTGCTAGGCAAGGGCTCTACCGTGGAGCTATATCCTCAGCCACTTACTGATTTTGAGACAGGATCTCACTAGGTTGCTCAAACTGACCTTCAACTAGCTCCATAGCCTAGATGGGCCTTGAACTTCCAGTATTTCTACCTTAGGGAGTGAGTTCAAGCTTGAGTCACCAAGCTAGGCCAAATGGTGATCCTTTTAGATGATGAAGGCTTCTAAGCTTGTTTGTTTTTAAAGAGTTTTTTTTTTTTTCCTATCACATTTATTTCTTTTGTGTGCACATGCCTGCTCCTCCTTACATGCGAGCCACAGCAAGCATATGGAAGTCAGAGGACTACTTATGGAAGCTAGTTCTCTTCTTCCACTACGTGGGTCCAGGGGTTTGAACTCAGGTCATCAGGCTTGGTAGCAAGGGACTTTACCCACTGAGCCATGTCGCCAGCTTGCCTCTAAGCCTTGAAGCCTTCATTAGGAGCCTTGGTTCTGTAGCGCTGTGTCTGGAGTGGGGCAGATAGGACCATTCCTCCATGCTTGCATTTTATCTTCAGAAAAAGCAGCAATATCTAGTAGGGTTTTTCTTCTCTCTCTGCTCATCTCTCTCTTTTCTTTCTTGTTTTTGTTTGCTTGTTTGCTTGTTTGGTTTTTCCAGACAGGGTTTCTCTGTGTAGCCCTGGCTGTCCTGGAACTTGATCTATAAACCAGGCTGGCCTTGAACTCAGAGGTCTGCCTGCCTCTGCCTCCTAAGTGCTGGGATTAAAGGCGTGCGCCCGCACTGCCCGACACTCATCTCTTTGCAGTTCTCTTCTCTTCCTTTTCCTTTCCCCTCATCCCCACACATCCCTCCTTCAGGCCACAACCCTGAGGAGGTGAGGCCTAGGCCTATGGAGCTTGTGTTGGTGTGCTGAGAGGTGTGGGTCTGAGAAAGAAGACCCAAGGTCTGGCTTCTCAAGGGCTTTTTGTTTTTTTAAACACCCGCAGCTCTTCTTGTTCCCGGGGGAGAGTTCAAGAAACGACGCCATCTTGTACCACCAGAAACACATGGTCATGACGCTCCTGGCCTCTTTCTTGTACTCTGCTCACCTGCCAGAGCGACTGGCTCCCGGACGCTTTGACTACATCGGTGAGTGTGGTGGGGCAGGGAGGGGGTGACCCTGAAGCAGGGGGTGACCCTCTCGGCTTGGGTGGGAACATCCTTGACAATGTGTGTGTAGCCACAAGGTAGGGGACCTGGGGAGGAGTGACCCAAGAGAGAGTCATGGCAAGTGACAGGTACAGCAGTGACCTTACATCTTGACTGAAGCCATCTTCCTGTTGCCAGTGCACTGCCTGGGACAGGGAGGACGGGGACAGGTAGGTCCGGGACCCTGAGCCATTCCAACGAGCCACCATCCTGTCAGCACCTAGAGTTTGACTTCCTAGTACAACAGGAACAGGGGGGCGGCCAGAGAGGAGGAGGGAAGATGGGTTCGCAGGTGACCGAGGTCCCAGACAGCAGGCAACTATACAGAGGAGAAAGTCTGTCTTGCACATGGTGAGTGGAGGGCCTGGGGTCATGTGGAGCCGTGGGTCCCAGGTGTATCCCTGATGGAGGCTGCAGCTTCCGGGCCCACACTCAGACTTCCTGACCCAAGAACTCCACAGCTGGGGCAGGGCCAGCCCTCACAGAGGCCATGTGACACTCGAGGGAGCCGAGCTAAGTATGACTTGAGAGGTGTCAGGGCACGGAGCTCCTGGCTGAAATGACCCCTCTCCATTCCCCGGGAGCAGGATGGGTGGGGTTCCCCCACCTCTCACAGCTGTTATACCTGGCTCTGACGCTGGCTGGAAAGAAGCACTTGTGTCCATTACTTTTCTGCTGTGACCAGTCCTCAAGGGTTTATTTGGGTTTATGCCTTGAGGGTGTGACCCACCATGAAAGGGAAGGTGTGGCGGCAGAGCCTGAGGCAGCAGGTCATATCGTGTCCACAGTCAGAAGCAGAGAGAGATGAACACTGGTGCTCAGCTTGCACTCTCTGCATGGGGTCCAGACCCCAGCCCATGGAAGGGCGGGTCTTCCCACCTCAGTTAAGCCAGTGCAGAAACTCCCTCACAGGCATACACAGAGGTTTGTCTCTTGGTGGTTCTAGAGACTGTGAAGTTGACAATATTAGCCATCACAGCACCTTTGGGTGGCTTCTGTAGACGGTGACAAGTCCCTCAGGGTAGGGGCCAGCTCTTCTACACTGGTGTCCTAGGGCGGCTCTTCCATGTCCATAGTGAGGGGTAGGGCCAGCTTTCCTGTGAGGGGCAGGACCAGCTCTCCCAGGGCCAGGAAGGGTGGTGCCTTCCCAGCATTGCCCTTGGATTTCAACAGGCATTGTTCCTATGGTCCCTTGTGGTATCTTGAGCCATGGAGATCAGCACAGACCCAAGCTGCAGCAGGACCATGGACCCAGACATGGCCCTTGGCAGCAGCTCAAGCTCAGATATCACCATGGCCCCAGGGGCAGCCCAGGCCACCCAGATCAGTATGGCCCCTGCAGCAGCATGGTCCTAGGGTACCAACATCATCTCAGGTGGCTAACCAGACCCCAGGTATCCACACAGCCCCCAGTGGTAACATGGACATCAATTCAAACCCTGGCTGCTGTAGGGCCACGGATGCAGACATGGCCCTTGGCAGCAGCATGGACCCAGACAACACCATGGCCCCGGGTAGCAGCTCAGGTCACACAGGTTGGCATGGCCCTAGCAGTGGTACAGCCCTTGAACACCAACATAGCTTCAGGTGGCAGCCCAGACTCAGATTTCCAGGCATCTGTGTGGCCTTTGGGGGCAACACAGGCCATGGACATCAACATGGGCCCTGGCTATGGTAGGGCCACGGACCCAGACATGGCCCTCAGTAGCAGCCCGGGCCTGGATATCACCATGGCCTCAAGTGGCAGTACAGGCCACTCAGATAAGTATGGCACAGCTGGAGCATGGCTCTTGGACACCACCGTGGCCTTGGGTGGTGGGCCAGACCCTGGGCATCTGTTTGTTCTTCAGTGGTAACTGAAGCATGGGACATCAACACAGACCCTGGCTGCAGTAGGGTCATGAATCCAGACATGGCCCTCAGCTGCAGCTCGGGCCCTGGTGACACCAAGACACTGGGTGGCAGCGCAGGCCACTCAGATCAGTATGGTCCCTGCAGTGGCACAGTCCTTAGATACCAACAGGTGGCGGCCAGACTCGGGGGCATCAGTATGGCCTTTGGTAACATGGGCCATGGATGTCAACACAGACTGGCGTTGTCAACTCCCCTGCGGGGGTAGGACCATGGCCCTTGGCAGCAGCACAGGCCCGGACATCACCATGGTCCTGGGTGGTAAGCAGGCCACCTACATTAGCTTGTTTCTCACCACCTAGGCTTCTTCAGTTCTGCCTCTTTCCACAGCACATGGACCACTCTGCTTCTCTTTCTCTGCCATTTCTCCACCACATATTTGCTCATCATTATGGCGTCGTCTATCTGCCTTGCACCGTAGGCCTGTGGATGTCTTCAGCCAGTCTGGGTCCATGAGGATCCAACTGGGCCTGTGGCTGTCTTTCACCTGCCTCTCTAAGCATTTTTTACAAGTGAACTTATAAAGCTGGTGTGGGTTGTACAAGCCTGTAGTGCCAGCACTCAGGAGGTGGAGGCAGAAGGAGCAGAAGTTCAAAGTCATCCTCAGCTACATAGTGAGTTCAAGTCAAATCTGGGTTACATGAGACCCTATCTCAAAAGACCATCAACTCTGAAATAAGTTAACAAACAAATAAAATTATATATGTGATCTCTTGTCTGGCTCCTTGGATTTAACCATCCCATTTTTAGCATACATGGCATAGCCTGCATCCATAGACCTTTTGATTGGTGACTTCCCAGCACTTAATTCATTCTGTGTGCATGCATGTGTGTGTCTATATGGGTGTGCACAAGCCATAGCATGCAGCGGTCACAGGACAACTGGTGGGAATGTATGCTCTCCTGAGGGTCCCAGGAGTGGCACTCGGGTTACCAGGCTTGGTAGCAGGAGCCTTGACCCGCTGAGGCATTTTTCTGGTTCTGATTGGTAATCTTGATGAGCTTTTGTGTTTTCTCATAGGTCACAGTCATCAGCTGTTTCACGTGTGCGTGATCCTGGCCACACACTTGCAGATGGAAGCCATCCTTCTGGACAAGACTCTGAGGAAGGAGTGGCTCTTGGCAACCTCCAGACCCTTCTCTCTGCCTCAGATAGCAGCGGCCTTGCTTCTTTGCGTCATCTTCTGCCTCAGTAACATTATTTATTTCTCAGCTGCTCTGTATCGGACCCCTGAGCCTGAGTTACATGAAAAGGAGACGTGATTTCAGAACATGCCAGGCTTCAGTGTTAAGTCATTGGGGTGGTGTCGACTTAAAGTGGCCAAAAGGATTTGTAGTGACTGATGTCTTGACATTTTTAAATGGGTTTATATAAAAAAAAAAAAGTATTTAACCTGGGGAGAATTCTCTACTCATGCACTGATTCTGTAAGTGTTCTGTAAAAGGGAGAACATGGGTTTAAGTCCTGAGGAAGGCAAATTATTGAAATATTAAGTCCTAAATTTATTTGAAATGGGGTGTTTAGGGAATGGGGATGTAGCGCAGTTGGTAAATACTTGCCTACAATATACAAAGCCCTGTGGTTTTTGTTTGTTTTTGGCTGTTGTTTGTTTGTTTGTTTGTTTGAGACAGGGTCTCATTATGTGGCTCAGGCTCTCCTGGAATTTACTATGTAGACCAGGCTAGCTTCAAACTCAGAGATATGCCTGCCTATGACTTCTCAGTGTTGAGATTAAAGGCGTGTACCACTATACAGAGTCCCTGGTTTTGGTCCTCAGCAAGGCATGAACCTGGCCTGATGGTGCATGCCTAGAATTCCAGTACCAGAGAAGTAGAATCAGATGAGCAAAAGTTCAAACCCATCGTTGGATACTTAGTGAGTTTGAGGCCATCCTTGGACTCATGAGATTGTGTCTCTAAAAAATAGAGTTCTCAAGTCTATTTAAACAGTCGGATTAAGCATTTTGCCCTGCCCTTCTAATTTTATATTAATGTTTAAAATGAAACTGCTGCATTTGATGAATTTTGTATAGCTAAGCTTCTTTCTCAGATGAGAGAGGTGGTTCAAAGAGTTAAGAAGCTTGCTGCCAAGGCTGACAATAGGAGTTCGATCCCCAGGACCTGCTGCAAAATATTCCACAGTACAGGAAAATTGTGTTGACCTCTGGAGCTTAGTGTGTCATCCTAACAGGTAGGGCTCCCTGTCACCTTCCCAAGCAATGAAGGAGCTGTCTTTGGAGATGTCACATGCCTGACATTGTTTTAGTCTGCCCAGTATGCTGCCGGACTTAGTATTTGTGCAGAGAGTGTTGAAGACCTCACCAATGAGAGAGTCAAATGTTCTGTCTTCAAGCTTTCCTATTAAACAGAAACACCAGGTAAGCTAGTGACATGCACTTCCCAGGGTGAACCCAGGGGTTCTGCTTTCTGAGGTTAAATGCAGGTTTTTGTAGAGGAAATGTGGATACAAACACGTCTATTGGAGGACTCCAACACAGGAGGGCCGGGAGCAAAAGCTAAAGACATTTGTGCTCCCTCATTTGCAGTTTGATCAAAGTTCCTGCAACCTGGGGAGATACCATGATCATGAAGGTGGTTTTCCCAGGGCGAGGCTTATCCATTTCTCTCTGGATGTGCTGACCCCTGTGATTTCCCCAAATGTGGGAAACTTGACTGCATAATTTGTGGTAGTGGGGGACTGTGTTTGTGCTCCCCTATAAGGGAAAAAAAAGTTTCAGCAACCTGCCATCTATGTGTTAATCCCCGTTTTCTTTCCAGAGTTTTCTACTATCAATAATATTTTTTAAAGTGATTAAAATAAAAATGAAGTCTTGTGAGTCAAACCCTAGACTAAAAAGTAAATAAAGCCAGGAGCCTTGAAGGATAGGCTCTCAGGAATGCATACTGATTTAAAACTGCCTGTTTCCTGTGTGTGGATGAAACGAGGTCAGCCATCTTTCTGACTGCTTGGCCAGCCTCATGCTCAGGATCCATGTCTTCCCTACCATGGCGGATGACAGTATCCCTTCTGGAACAATAAGCTGAAATAAATCCCTTCATAAAAAATAAACAGTAACAAGAAATCTCTCTCTCTCATACACACACACACACACACACACACACACACACACACACACACACACACCAAAACTCTGCTAAGAGCCATGATCTTGTGCAACGATCTTTGCGGCCTCACACAGAAAATACTTGTGCAGAGACATCTAACCAAGTGCCTGTCTGCCTTGGACCAATGCCACCCTTGTTATTGATGCTTAGAACCAAATATTACTGTATTCATAAGCAATATAGCATCCTCCTCATTTTGCCTTAAAAATACTCTCTTATAGGGCTGGAGATGGCTCCGTGGGTAAAGTGCTTGCTATGCAAGCATCAAGGTGAGTTCAGATCCCCCAACACACACCATGGAAACCTAGGAAACCATGGAAACTCTAACCCTAGCACGGGGACAGAGCTAGGCAGGTCCTGGAACTCACTGGTCAGGTAGTCTATCCAAACACAGAGGTTTAGTAGGAGGGCCTATCTCAGCAAGGTGGAAGCAGTGGAGGTAGACACTCTGACGTCAGCCTCTGGTCCCACATGCATCAGCATGGATGAGAGTGTCTAGGCACACTCGCTCTTGCCTAGACTCCTAATGTTCATGTAGCTTACCACAGCATGGGTGCAGTCATTGCAGAGCTGTTCTGGATTAATTTGTTGTCTTTGGAGAAGCTCTGTCATTGAGGCACATGACACCAAACATGGCAATTCCTTGTTTGTTGCATCAGTCATTAAAGTTCGGCATTTTGTAGTATTTTCAGGGAGTCCAGAAATGCTGATACAAACCAGATTTTAACAGAGGCCCATCAACCCCTGATTGGCACTTGGTAATGACTTTGCGGGGGGGCCATCCATCACAGTGCTCGGTCCTCTTTGCTGACTCTGGAATACCCTCTGTCCTGTAACACCCTCTCCAGGATTTAAACAGCTCAGCCATGCCAATGGCTTTGCCAGTAGCTCACAGTGTCATCCTTTAACGACAAGGGTCAACATATTGGATGTGAGTGGTCAAGAAATATGGTGTCATTATTTTATTATCTGTTTACTTCTCCTCGGGAACGGGGACTGATACGGTTATATAGGCTGGTAAATTCTGTTACATCAGTTGCAAACTGCACAATAAATTTCATTCTTTAACAGCAATCTGACATTGTTAGTGGCATTCCCCAACTATTTCACATTCTCACAGCCTCAGTTTTATAGTGGAAAGAAGAGGTATAAAATTGGGCTGGGCATGTGGCTCAGCTGGTTGTTGTTGTCTGGCATGCATTAGGCTCAGGCTTTGATACCCAGCACTGCATATACTGGGCGTGCTGTTACATGCCTGTGATCCCAGCATTTGGGGTATGGGGACAGGAGGATCAGGTCATACTCAGCTACATAGTCTGAGGCCAGTCTGAGATTCATTAGGCGACTGACAAGAATAACTCTGATTCAGTGTTTCTCAACCCTCGAGGCCGCAGTTGTCAACCTAGCACAGGATGGACAGAGAAATCCAGACAAAGGTAAGTCCTGTGAAGGACACAGACCTAGGGAGCTGAGGAGAAAGGTAGCCCAGTGAATTGCACAGCCACTCAGATAAGCGATAGCTCTGGAGAGGCTTCAGGGGCCAAAGGAGCCAGGCTGGCTGGCGAGTAGTGGACAGACATTTCAGGCCTTGGGGCCAGCGAGGGCTATCTTACCGGAAGGAGAGGAGTTGGGCCATTCCTTCCAGAAACGTTGAACTGCACTCCAGAAGACAATGATGAATTCTGCAAATGTTCTGAATTTTCTCTGAGAGGTTGCCCAAGGGCTTTCCTGTGCGCCTTTCTAAGTGTGTGGAATACTTGGGGCTCTGCACTAAAGTACCTCTGACAAGACGCCTATCAGCTGCCATTTCGTCTACGCATCAGCTTTCTAGAACTGGCTTTGCTTTGGCGGGGGGGTGGGGGGTGG